TTAGATATATTTCATGTCGAAATAATTAGTTTTGAATGCTGTAAAAGCATGACACTGGCCAATTCTAACTGTATTTTTACATAAGAATTCGAATAAAAATTCTCAAATCACTCACCAGAGCTGGGAGATATCCCAAGTAAAATACTGTCATGTTCCTCCAAGGTGATAAGTTGTGACGCTAGTTGTGAACCACTTAGTTGTGACCCAAAGAGCGATTGTGAGTCAGGTCTCCCAGAGAGTGGTGATGCGGATAGTTGTGGGCTTAGCAGTTGTGACCCAGATGGTTGTGATGATTGAGAAGACACAGGTGAACTCTCACAAGCAAGCTCAGCCAGGATATGAGCCAAGGTGGTATCCTTGCCCGATTCTGCAAAGCATGGGATATTCAATATACAGAGATGATCTTTCCAATGATATATCACACTAGGTACTATTATAAAGGTCCCTGAAAGTACATGTATCAGAGCACAGTTTAATCTGCATTTGGATTTATTGCCTGATCCTGCAAATTATATGATATTCAATATACAGAGATGATCTTTCCAATGATATATCACACTAGGTACTATCATGAAGGTCCCTGAAAGTACATGTAACAGAGCACAGTATAATCTGCATTTGGATTTATTGCCTGGTCCTGTTAATCATATGATATTCAATATACAGGGGTGATCTTTCCAATGATATATCACACTAGGTACTATTATAAAGGTCCCTGAAAGTACATGTAACAGAGCACAGTATACTCTGCATTTGGATTTATTGCCTGGTCCTGTTAATCATATGACATTCAATATACAGGGGTGATCTTTCCAATGATATATCACACTAGGTACTATTATAAAGGTCCCTGAAAGTACATGTAACAGAGCACAGTTTAATCTGCATTTGGATTTATTGCCTGATCCTGCAAATTATATGATATTCAATATACAGAGATGATCTTTCCAATGATATATCACACTAGGTACTATCATGAAGGTCCCTGAAAGTACATGTAACAGAGCACAGTATAATCTGCATTTGGATTTATTGCCTGATCCTGTTAATCATATGATATTCAATATATAGAGATGATCTTTCCAATGATATATCACACTGGGTACCATATATTAAGGTTTTAGATGTAGCAGGTGGGACATGATTTATTTGATACCCCGAAAAAAGGTCCCTGAAAGCACATGTAACAGAGCACAGTATAAAGTGCATTTGGATTTAAGTCTATCATCTTGTTATTCTATCTTTACTTGTTATTTCTAGTAAAGAATGGAACTTTGTCCATTTGCAAAAGTAAGACTTACAAAAACAAGATATTCTAACGATAGAATGGGCTAATTAAGTCCAGTATCTTTTTTGTTGATAGATCATTGTATTGGAGCATACATTAAATTTTATCAAATACGTCATGGCAGAGCATTAAAATTATGTTTAATAAGTGCACAAAATTTGAAGAAAATCACCCATGCCTGTACTTGTATAAGAGCAATTTTGTCTAATACTACAGCAATGCATTAATTTTAATTAAACCCCGGTCATGCAAACATAGGGAATGGAATTATTAGGTACAGTATCTTTCAAGATAGATGGTTACATTTTTAAAAAATATGTCATAGCAGAGCGTTAAATTAAACCCCCGTCATGAAAACATTCATGGTGTTTTAAAAGCGTCTGTGTCATTTTAACTCATAATCAACCTGGTTATTTTAAACAATGTCCAACCCTAAAATCCTATTTATCGGAATAAAAACCATTCTGAAAATCATGTGCCTTATGTAGAATTATTACCTTTTTTCTGAACCTCACCTTGAGAGCTTGGAGTGTCCTCCCTAAAGCTCTGACTTGAAGACACAACATGGTGGATGGAATCTAAGTTGATGTTTAC